GGTTGTGTAATCGATTGAGCATAGGCATAGGGTTTGCATTCTTAACACACCCGCTCAAACTCTGCTACTGGTCAATTCAAGGTACTCACGGAACTTCCTGAAAGCAGGGCCTGCCAGACTCTTCGTCAGTATGTCTGCTTGTTGCTTCAACGTAGGAATATACTCGATGCGTATCTGGTTGCTCTCCAACAGTTCTCGGACGAAAAAATGCTTCACGTCCAAGTGCTTCAGCCGCCCAGAATCCTTCGGGTTAGCGGCAATCTTCATTGTGGACTGGTTGTCCTCATGGTAGGTCATTGGGGCCACGGGCTTAGACCCGAAGGATTCTGAGCGGCTGAAGCACTTGGACGTGAAGCATTTTTTTTCATCCGAGAACTGTTGGAGAGCAACCAGATACGCATCCAGTATATCCCTACGTTGAAGCAGCAAGCAGACATACTGACGAAGAGTCTGCCAGGCCCTGCTTTCAGGTAGTTCCATGAGTACCTTGGATTGACCCGTAGAAGTGTTAGAGCGGGCGTGTTAAGTATGCAAACCCTACGCCTATGCTCAATCGATTGCACAACCCTGTGTGCCCCATTTGTTGACGCTACTGCTGTCGGACTATTTCTGTTTTTCTTCTTCGCTCCGACAAACGCAGCAGATTCCATCTTCGGCGAATAGAATTCCGCACTTGCACCGCCTCGCTGCTTTATTTCCTCGTCCAAAAGGCGACACTTGACGAATTCTAGAGTTAAATTTTCCTCGGGCATAGTCTCTAGAGCCATCACGACGGTCGAGTAGGCCGGGCCGAGGGTAAGCAGCAGGTGGCAAATGACGTCTATCTCCTCGATGACAGCGCCCGTTCCCCGGTACTCCCTTACCAGGCGATCGAACCGGAGGAAGTGGTCCTGCAGGTGTCCAGATTCCAGCCGCAGAGACAGCATCTGTCGCTTAAGGTGAATGAAGAACAGAAATAGTCCGACATCAGTAGCGTCGACAAATGGGGCACACAGGGCTGTGCAATCGATTGAGCATAGGCGTAGGGTTTGCATACTAAACAATACTAACTGGAACAGACTTTAGTATAGGATTAATAGGAACAGCTCAATACAATAACATACCATTCCTTGAGTCCGACATCAAGCACATACGAATCATCAACGATCCGGCCAACGATGCATCTCTGTCATCATCTTTCTGTTGTCTCAAAAGGGCCCTAATGCGATGGGTGGCCTACCGATCAGTTCTTGTAAGGTCAGTAAGGCCTTGATCTATCTCTAAAATTTGATTCGTGGAAGAGGGGGTTTCGGTGGGGTCAACGGTTCCCGCATGACGACACTAAGTACCTTACTGTTGTGCAAGAGCCCATGGGCGTGCAGATCAGCAGCAACAATCACAGGTAGAACTGCAGCTACGAAGCTTATCTGGATCACAAACCGTTTCCGAATTATGAATGATCTAGAGTGGGGAGATATTTGATGGATTTCATCGGTGGTACAATGGCCATTGGGTTTCATTGGTAGTACATTGCGTAGGATATCAGTCTTCGAGGTCACGTACTTCTGAGTCAATCAGATGACCTGGTTCGAGGATGTGGTTTCTAGGGTGGGATTGAAATTTCGGACGTTCCAATTCTGGTTTTGATTTTGTCGGAGAGCATTTAACAGGCAACTGGAGGAAATTTCATCAACCATCAAACAGGTTACAGCTTCTTTTCTTTTGGACGGGTCGAATTTACTGGAACCAGGGCTGGAAAATGTATTTTTCAATGAAAGATGTCACGCGATATTTACAGAGATACTTCTGTCACTATCATCGGATGAGAAAACGATGATTGAGATTTTCTTCAAAATCTAATCGAAATTTTGGTCATGAAGGAACGTGACAGTGTTGTGATCATTGTAATTACAAGCTCATTTATTGCTATTAATGTTACTATTACCGAGGAAATCTTAATAATATATTCACTCTGCCGATTACATACGGTTGCTTGCTTAAATTCATCTAAATCAGTTAGAAATATTGATGTCAAAACCGCATATGAATTATTCTCGTGAGTGTTTGATCATTGGAAAATGACAAGAAATCCAATGATAGGTAGTTTCGTCTCGTGATAGTGAGAGGACCTGTTTTCTCATTGTCACATGACGGCCGTGATATTTACCAGCTCTGACTGGAACACTGTATAGCTTGGATGGCAGCAAATTCCTCTTCCACTGCTGTCAATTCACGTTCAAATGAAAATGAAACTTAATGTTTGTCAGAAACCATAAAAGAAATTCAAAATGAAAACACAATCACAAAAGTCATTATTACTTCAGGGTTGCCAGACTCATGGGATATTGACACCTTGATTGGTACGCTTCGGCCTACTTCGGCACGTTCGGCACAGTGCACAGCTATCGGTGCAGCTAAATATCGCGGCACAGATTAGTACGTGCAAAGTTGCATACCCATTGGTTCGATTAAAAGAAATGCGTCAAGTTTAAGTCGACCAAATTTTGATCATAACACCCTTTAGGCTATTTGAATATCTGCAACTAGATCTAATCTAATCTAATCTTATCTAATACAATCGCAGCCAGTACAAGAAAGGATCCTGGAAAATCATTAGGTTAGATAAGACCAGATAAGACCTAATCATTTGACATTGATGTTTGCAGCATATCTGAGATATGACACAAACATCAAAACGGCCAGGCCTACTGCGTTGCATCTGCCGCAAAGATGATTCTGTTAAAGGATTCAAGTTCAAATAAACCGTGGAGGCACCATATTCGAAGCAGTTCCTAAATCGAAGCACTCCATAATGTTCGACTATTTTAAATAATTATTTTTCAAATGTTACTTCTGCAATTATTAGTTCCAGTGCTCTAGGGATTATGGAGTTATAAGGTTTCTTAAAATATTTTGTTAAAATAGACGAGTGCGTCATCATTAGGAACGCGTCAAATATGGTGCTGGCAAGGTATATCTAAACAGCGATGCATTTCGTGAATCTTCAGGGGTGAAAGGATGCGTGGACATACCGTACCAAAAGCTCCGAGCTAGGTTATGAGTGAATGTAACAGTAATATGCAATGTAATGAATGGTATATAAAATACAGTGTAATGGAAGGATCTCACCAAATGCCTCCAATGTTAACCAAATTCCTACTTCGGTAACATGATCGCACTGAACGATGGGACGTTGGGGGTCTGCTGGCTTGACAGCGGCCCCAGGAACAAGCTGGGGGATATTGTAGGTCCTGCAGACCGTCGATGTACGTGCACTCGCGGTGCTCCGAATGGGTGATCTTCCGTTGCTGAAGATTGGCCATTTGCGCCAGGAATTGAGCTGCTCGTGAAAATAACTTCTTGAATCTCGGCTTTGGTGGCGACCCAGAACCGAGCAATAGAATCCAGGTCCATCTATGGTAGTTGTTGACTGGATCAGCACCCAAGTATAAATATAACACAGGTCATGACTGGAATTTCGAATCGCGGAAAATGTGCTCCAACTACGAGACAAACTATCTCACATAAATTATTAATTTTAAATTTTTCCAAATTTTCCAACGCGACAGAGAAAACAAACAAACAAACGTCACGGCCGTACGGACCGTATCCTTCCTATTTGTTGAATATCTGCAACTAGGTTTTCAAACAAGTTTGGACAACACAAATGTCGAGGGGTGAATTTTTTACTCGAAATAGATTTTGGTCCCTACCTGTTCTGGTACCATTTTCGGATTTGGTTAAAAATTGTTCATAGCCTTGAAATTGGTGGCCTGTTACAAGGCCTTTCGGAATTTTATCCGGGTTTTGTTTTCATCACAGGATCATGAATAAAAAAAATCGTTGGATGAACTATTGTTACTGCTATCGAGCGATCAAATAGGGTGGAATTAAAACATCGTTTAGTTTATGATTATAATAAACGGACACTTAGCTACGTGAACGTGTTCAACATATCCCGATTTCCAATATATAACGGTGAGAATCAAAATTGGCTCGAATTCAAGTTGTACATGAAATGCAATGCATAAATTGTATGTAGGGCATCTATCAATGTCCAAACTTGGGTAATATTTAGGGTTCTACACAGCACAGAAACTAATAACAAACGAATCAATATTCCAATAATTTACCACAGTTCCAAATCGATCGAACAAACAAAATATAAGAATGAAAACGAATCAGCAAATATCCACGACCTCCCCCATAGAAATACATAAACTGCAAAAATCCAGCGGTATGCTTCGAATCCTCAACGGAAGGTCAAAATTCGATAAATAAGAACCAGATGCTGTGGGTTGCGTGAGGGCGAGGTAAAATTGATGTTAATATTTCACCAGCAGATAAAACGAACCATCATCGTACCATACCACCGCACCGATCCTTAGGGAATAAAATATTTACAACCTACCGAGAGTGGCGCACCCCCCGTCTCTTAAACGAATTTATTACAAGGACCCTGATATAACGAGGCTGGCAAAAAAATACAGAAACGCAAACACGCCTCGAATCACCTTCCATGAATGTTTAATTTTCTATGCCTTCAAGCATTTCCTCGTGTCACGGATGCGATTACGAGGCGTGAAGATTATAAAATATTGGCAAATTTTATTGCCAGTGCCTTGTGGGCTTGCTGCGTTCACGGAAACTGAAGGTCGCTACCAACCGACACAGAAAGCTGAAAAATTTGTACTATGAACATTAGTAAAGAAATAATTCTATTTGAAAAAAGTTTCACCAAAAGTTATCCGGATGTCACTGGGGTCGACTGCGTGGGAAAAGATTTATTGCCTCCGCTGATAGGATACAATAGAGACAGGATTAGTTCTCGGAAAAGTTTTCCGCTGACTGACAAAAAGTTAGTGTAACTTTCATCATTAACAACTCTTTTGAGAGATTAGGTGGGCAACGAGTTAGAAACAATTTAAAGACTATATTTGAACTGAAATTGAACTTATTGAATATACTAAACAAGCTGATTTCTGCGACAAAACTAACGATTTCACTTTTTTCAATTTCAGGAAGACATGGTCTGTCTGTCCTGCACGGCAACGGGCGAACGTGTCTGCTTGGCGGCCGAGGGCTTCGGCAACCGGCACTGCTTCCTCGAGAACATCGCCGACAAGAACATCCCCCCGGACCTATCGCAGTGCGTGTTCGTCATCGAGCAGGCGCTCTCCGTTCGTGCCCTGCAGGAGCTGGTCACGGCTGCCGGTTCCGAAACCGTAAGTATAGCTGCCAACGTCGCACAAACCACAAAACGTCGGAACGACTAGCAAAGAGGTTTTATTTTAAATATAGCTACAGGTTGAACATTTTCCCACCAACACACTGTGGCACTGTGGTGAGAGATGCACAAAGCGCAAAAAAGATTGTTTTAGAGCAAACCCCCACACAGCCCTGCACAACTCGCCGACCCGTCCATTTGACTAGAAAGAAAAGCGAATCAACGTTCAAAGAAAGCGTTCAGTAGGATCTGAAGAAGATCGCTCCCCACACCCATTAGGCGCGAGACAATTTGCAGCGCACCGGTTTGCCACGACTATTTATACACACCTGTAGAATCGAAGACTAGCACTGAAACAGTGTTGCCAGAACAAATCAAACTGAGGCTGAGTTCCATTTGGTGAATTTATGCTTAAATTTAACGCTTCGAAAATCCTTCTGTTGTTCATCGACCGATTTTCGAGAAGGTGACTGTCAAAATTGATTCCTTGTCTGTTGGAATAACAAGGTAATTTGAAAATTTCCCATCTGTCAAATTTAGGTTAAAACTCTCCAAACGTGAACCCAATGAGTCAACAGTTTCAATCTATCTGGCAACACTGTTCCCACCCGACAAAGATCACACAACCAAGAGCAAAGTTTTCAAGCACAATTTTCACCTTACACCCCACACGGCACACGATAGCTTGATGCAGATAAAAAGTTGTGTGCTGAATTCATTTATCACCCATCCTTTCCTTTTTTCCGCTTCGAGACCCCGGGCGACTTGTTGCAATTTGGTGCTGGTTGAAATCGATGTACTCAGCTCGCAACATTTGCATACTGTGCGCCAAAATGACGGCCGAATCGATGAAAACCCAACTTTTCTCACGTAACCCACCTTAATGAGCCGTGCCGTGAGAATCTTCCGTTTTGCTTTTTGACGGCCACTCCCACAAACCCATAATTATGTTTTTGGACACGGTGCTCACACGCAACTGCCGAAACTGATTGTAAGCACACATGTCAAACCTTGGACCTCGCTACGCACTACACACCGACACGCACGGCACCACGCCATAAATGTATCAGGATTACTAGCATGGAACATACCAACCGGTGTTTTCGGGGAAAACCGCCCAAAATACGAAGAAAGGGAAAATTGCTCTCAAGTTTCATTTTTATGGGCGCCCGGGTAGTCGTAAAGAACAAAATGCTAACAACGTTACTTGTACCGGGTGGTGATATGCTAATGAAATGAATACCTGTTTTCTTTCTTTTTGGCGGGAATGTGTAATGGGAAGGTATGAAGGGACAAACACTTAAAACTATTCACCAACAACAAGGACGCAAAGACGCATAAACGGTATTCTCGGTAAACTTAACAAACAATTTATAATTCACATAAATATAAATAATCTAAATAAACAAAAAACGGTAAAAGTCACAAACAATTGATAAATCGTTACATGTATTCGAAGACAACCATAACATGTATTTTTTATACAAACGCCAAAAGACACGTACAATCTCGCCATACAATGCTAAATGGTTAAAACTCCGTACGAATATTATAGCAAAAATTGTGGATTTATTCAATTTTCCATACGGTGGTTTCACTTTAGCTCAAGCACGGCAGTCAATATTCAGTAAGACGATCAACTCTCTTATCGATACAAAGTTAGTTGTATCTCTTTCAATCGACGCACGGTTGCTCTGCATATAAAGATGGGTACAGGCAAGAGTGGTTCCCTTTCTCCATTGATTTATAGCGACTGTAACATGGTCACGACGCATGGTAGTCCTGCCGCATAGGAGTATTGAGTGAAAACCCAAAACATGATGACTTCAAAAAAATATAACTCAAATAGGAAAAAAATACATCGCTGATGTTCTGATATGTTGTGTAAAAAAGCCTAATTTTTCAATGAAAAATATAAAAACATATTACGCCCTCTATCTACAAACCATGAAAACTATAAAAAACAAATACAATCAATTGTTTTCAAAACAAAATCATAGTTTTTTAATATCATTATATGTTTCCTAAAAAGTATTTTCAATTAACTTTCATTTGATCTTTGAAATCGACTCAGTGGTTCAAAAGGTATGAACATTAGAAAAAAAAACTGAACCACCCTAACATGGGAATGGTCACCTTAATGACAAAATAAAAAAAATGGGTCTAATATTTTGCGATCAGAAACAAAATTACCCATTTTTACGAAATTCTGAAAACCACTATATCGTTTTGCTATAGAATGGCTGAAACATACAGTGGTGGACAAAAATACAGAACATCGTGATTTTTCATCTCTCCGAAAAAGTTAAATTCACTGTAATTTTTAAGGATTTGCGTTAAACTGTTGTATTTTCTTTTTCTGTTGGTTGATCAACCATTCCAGGTTTATCGGTATGATTTCGAGGTTGTTTTGTCTAGTACTGTGGATGAAGATCAGAGAACTTCAGCGGTAATTTCATAAACTTTGATAAAATTTAATGAACTTTTCTGACGTTCCACGACTTTCAGTAAGTCCAGAAAACATCAGGTTAGTTTGAAGATGTTTGAGAAACATTGTGAAGTCCTACGGACTTCTGTAGGAACTTTAGGGAACTAACGAAACATTGAGAATTACAGGGCTGTTTCATTAACGTCTGTAAAATTTCAGCGACATAACAGATGCTCCAAGAGCTTCTTCAAGAAAATTGCCTTCCATAAATTCAAGGACCATTTCCGAAACATTTCTTCTTCTTCGCTTTTCAAGCTCATTGCTTATCGCATATTCGCTTATTACGTGCCCTCAACTTAGTGCTCTAGATGCACTTCCACAGTTATTAATTGAGTACAATCATACTCTATGCCCAGGGAAGTCGAGAAATTTTCCAACCCGAAAAATTCCTTGGCAAGTCCTAAAACCTTCATGGAAGTCCACAGAAGCTCAGGAAAGTTAAGAGATTTTAAACGGAGATCCGTAAACCAAGAGAGTAACATTCTGGAAAGTAGACTGTTGGCCCACCCTATTAGGCCAGCGCGAACACCAACGGTCTAGGGTTCAGGTCCCTATTCGGGCGCCAAAGGAGGGTCGAGAAACACTGGGGAATGCTAGCCACATGCTTGACCGTTCGAGCGATACATATTGAAGTATTTAGTTCACTCACTGACCACTAGTTCCTGCATCATGGCAATCCGCAATTTCGTCGCTCAGCGCGGAAAACCCCGTAAATTCTACAGTGACCGGGGAACCAACTTCGTCGGAGCGGATCGAGAGCTGAAGAAGCTTGAAGAAGTGATCAACCATGACGAGATAATGAAGGAGTTCACTAGTTCTGAGACCGAGTGGGTGTTCAATCCTCCGCTGGCACCACACATGGGTGGAAGTTGGTAGCGGCTAATAAGAACAGTAAATAGCAACCTGATGGCTGTCTGCATAACTAAGAAACCGTCCGACGAAGTGCTGCGAAACACTCTAACCGAAATAGAGAACGTAGTAAACTCCCGGCCACTCACGCACGTGCCGGCAGACGACGATTCTGCTCCGGCTCTCACCCCGAACCATTTCCTACTCAGTTCATCCAACGGGACGAAACCACTGGTCAAGAGTGACGACTGCCATCTCGCCCTGAAGCAGAACTGGTGCACCTCTCAGATTCTGGCCAACCTGTTCTGGAAGCGGTGGGTAACTGATTATCTTCCTGAAATCACTCGTCGGTCCAAATGGTTCCAGTCTGTTAAGCCGGTCGCTAGTGGAGATGTTGTAATTATCGTCGACCCTAAGATGCCCCGGAGCTGCTGGCCAAAAGGAAAAGTCATCAGTACGATTTCCAGTAAAGACGGTCAAGTCCGATCCGCAATCGTACAAACATTCACCGGTGTCTACGAACGTCCAGCAGCCAAGTTAGCAGTGTTGGATGTTCAGCGCGTCGAGTAGTAAGCCCACCGGAAGTTGACGTACTCTGGAGGGAGTGTTGGCCCACCCTATTAGGCCAGCGCGAACACCTTCAACCCATACACTGTGGTGGTGACAGCATCACGCGTAGCGCGCTACTGCGGTGGTTCCGAGTACAGCGAAGTGACAGGTAATTGTCACGTCGGTGAGTACAGTTGGGAGAACGGTAGAACAAAAGGGAAAATGTGTAAACACGATGGTTTCATGCCAAGAAGCATGCTAATTTCTACAGAGTGTTAATCTTAATTAATAGGTGTATTTATATTACTTAAAGCTAGTGTATAAACCTAAACTAGTGTAAAGTAACTACGATCAAATTGGTAAGGAGTTATATATAAGTTCAAACTTATAACTAAAAGATATCAACTATTTACATTTAGGACCTACAGCTAACCTTATACCTTTGTTATCACTACGTCTGAGCTACACCCGATGTACTGAAGTAGCTACCAGAATCGGTAAGAGTAATTTCTCTTAAAGCTCCTAGAGATGCAGACGATGAATTTATATGAAGAAAAACAAAAAAAAACTATTAGTTAAACTATTTATATGATTACCAGGCCTTACTGCTAAAACTATCAGTTGCTCTTTTGATTGGATTGAGGTTGAAATTTACAAAGGGAACTAAACGTAAGTAATCTAAAATTACATTAAACTTACAACAAGTTCGTACCATTGCCTAAGCTAATATGCAAGCTAGAGCAAAATAAAACCTTAACGTTAACATACAACTAACACTATTATACGAATGAAATCTAATGAAGATTATGTATCTACCTACTACTTAGGAAAATTATACTCTCACTATATCAACAATTGGATTCCATTTATTCATTTGTATCTGGGCGGGAATAATAACTTTGGAAACGTCCCGTTGAATTAAATTCAACATAGACCTTTAGGGCAGTTACGATAACTTCAGGAAAGCTCTAATTTGTTAGGAGAGTTTATGTTTTCAGGATAGTTAAAAAATCTTGATGAATTAGTTCCGATGAATTCAAGACAGTTCCATTAAATTCAGCAAATTAATCGGATGTTAATTACAGAAAAAATACCTTAGAGAAGTTCCGACA